GATAATCAGATAGAAAATCTAGATGCAAAAAAATATATACGTCCATCAAACCTCTTGCATTCAACCTTGATTCTGTTTTTAAATTTTAAAGGTTTATCGCGTCGTCAATCGCCCGCACTCGAATTTTATGGCGCTTTTACGGCGACCCTGAATCTTTGAAGCGGAAGCGCGAAAAAAATCGAAAAATAAATCTTGTTAAACGTTCTACGCTTGGTGGCTTTGCAGTTTATTTGCTTCGCGAAAATTAATTCACAATATCATGAAACAGATGATTTGAGATTTTCGGGACTCGTTTCACACTAAATCTTTTTTTTTTTTTCGAATTATCCCCAGTGTGCAAGGTCTGAGAACGTTTATCTCTCTCGAAGTTTACAGAGAATCGCGGAGAAGGTCAGCTGTGTCTTTTCCGGCGCTTACGTACCATGCAAACGCAACCCGACTGACCCACTGCGCCGACGATTCTTGCTGACATTTCGTAATCGTCACCACTAGTCGTATATTTAGCGTTACGTTACGCATGGCCATCGTGCGGGAGAACGGGACAGCTGTAGTAGGTTCACTTGATACCGTTCAAGCCTTGAGACTCAGCTGATTGCCAGCCTACCGCTGGCAAACTGCATATGCGTTAGTTAATTACGATGTTCTGACTATTATCTTGGCACAATTCTCATTTCGCCTGGCTCGTTTAATTTTTCCACACTAAGATAAAACTAACTTAAAAAAATATCTAAATACGAAAATAATATTTGTGTCCACCGAAGCCTCTTACACTGTTAGATATTAAATTTATTCTCACACTGTTAGATATTAAAGGAGTAATTCATTCACTTGAGTTAAATAACATTTTGTTATTTTTAACTTTAATGTGTATCAAAATATAAATGTAAATCAATCCATTTCTATGGTTTAATTGCTTAGTTTGAAAGACAACTATATTATCGTATACACTTAGTAAACAATATACATTAGGTCCTTATATTTTGTATTTTTATATTGTTTTGTTCGCGAGAATTATATAAAAATAGTACGCTAACATTTAGTTATTTTATTAATGTTTGACATACATCTACGTTTTGAGATCCTTATAGTTTGCGAATCTTCATTCCAGACAGTTTCCGCTCTGGATTTGTCGATTTCTCGGACTTCGCTTTCGGCGGTCATATTAAAACGCCCCTATCTTATGAATCGAAACACATCTGCAACCAGCGTGAAATTACACAAACGTAGAGAGTGAATCTTGGCCTGTACAATCGTATTCCATTTACAACTTCCGTTAATCGTAAAAAGCTGTATTTAGATCCACGCATATAGCGTTTCACTCTTACTTTTTCATTTTATTGTTGGTCAGACATATGCCCGATTTGTAAGTAGCGTGATTTCACGGACGAATCTAAAGCGCCGCGTTAAGCAACACGCTCAGGAAATACGCAATCGTTATCACGTATAAATTATTTTCGCACGTGTGAAAATTACAATAAAAATACATTCACGGATTCTCCCCTTCGCTTAAGGTGTTCCATCGAAAGCACTCCATCGAAATTTATTTTCACAGGAGGTTTCGCGATACTCGCAATCTCGATGGGATAAATTGATTCCGATTGCGTATATACTTATATCTTTTTATTGCGTGCGCAAGACTATCCGCGAATAGCGCGTCAGTGTGTTGTCCGCGTTTCTTAGCGTTTCTCGCGGCGGACTTGTCTTACGACAGAACAAGGCGAGTCTCAGAGACGTGTCCACTGACCGTTGCGGACTTTCGCGACTCCCGGTATCCCCTTGATAGAGCAATGCGCCTCCGTCACGACTCCAATGCGCCCGTAACGCAGTGCAATGCACGGGGTCTTGCTAGAGACCCTCTCTCTCTCTCTCTCTCTCTCTCTCTCTCTCTCTCTTGCGCGCGCGAAGCCGCAGAGCGGAGAAAGTTAATTTCGCATGGCCGTTGAACCGATATCGCCGCTATTACGCTTAGGGGAAGCGGAGAGTATTAGACGTGGTTAGACGCGGTTAGACCAATTTGCTACTTCTAGGCTGGTCACGTCTTATTCGATTCGAGCCAGCCGTCTACTTGACGTCGATCAACGAACGCCGCTGTTCGCGCATTCAAGAGAATCGCCCGTGGATCGAAACTAGCACATCCCGAATTAACTCCTCGCGATTTGACGTACATGTGCTGGTTTTGTATCTAATCCAGCACGTCGTTGGGCCGCGCGTAAAGAAGCGTATCCGAATTTCCGGCGAAATGGCGAACGAACATTAACTTTCGCGATGATGTTTCATTCGGAATATCTGTCATATAGATGACTTCCTTAATATATACAATAATAGTCATATAGAGACTTCCTTCAAACTATATATTAATAATAATACACGGAGAGAATTTTTTTTTAAATTTACCCTGAAAATATGGTAGAGAAGAGAGAGAGAG